TGTATACCTAAAATGTACCAATAAAATTAATTTAAAAAAAAAAAAAAGAATTAAGAGAGAGAAAGCAGGGTACCAAGACGACCAATGCCAGTGCAACCCACAAAGGCACTGGCCAGTTCCAGGCACTGATTTTTATTGGCAATCAACTTGGGTAAAGGCAAGCTACGTGCAAGGACAGGACTACATGCAGTTTCTACGGAAATTAATATAAACAAGGCTCATAAAGGACAAGACAAAGCATTCCTGAATTAGAAACAGAATAGACAAAATATATGGTTGTAATTAGAATACTGTCCTTCTAGTAAGGTTTTAGTTGTAGGAATAGAATTTGGGTACAAGTTACTCTGACCCCAGCATGTAGGCTTCGGCTGAACTCACTTCTATAAAAAAGCCAATTGTGGGGTTAAATCTTTTTGTTGTTTTTGTTTGTTTGTTTGTTTTGGTACCAGCGATCAAACTCCGGTCCTTGGGCTTGCGCAGCAGGTGGCGAAACCACTGAATTAAATCCCCAGCCTAAATCTTTACAGCCTGCTTTGGGCATAATCAATTTTACAGTCTCCCACACCTCTCTGCCTACCCCAGGGAACACACTATCCAGACCTTTCCCTGACTGTTCTGGAACTTTATGTAATTGATTCACATCTTGTTTCTGCTTCTTCTGGATAATATTGTTTGTGAGCTTCCCCTAAGCCATACTGTACAGCTATAGTTTCTTCTCTTCACTGGTATATGTACAGCACTCCATAGTAAAAAGATACCAACAACTTCAACACACTTCTATTTATCTAAAATTAATCTATTTATTAATTTGACTGAGGAATTTGGGTAATTACCAGCTTTGAAGTATTATGAATAATAAAATTAAAATTAAGTGCAATGTGTGAAACTAGACATGGGGAAGAATGAATATGTAACAGATATTATACATATGAAACATACTTATTTTCTTATGTGCAATTATGACACTACTAAGATACATGTCAAAGTATTTAGGAGTTAAAGATCAAGATGTTCCCAATTTCCCAATTTTCATTCTGAAAACACACACATTTTACAGATAAATATGGCAAATGTTAACAACCATTGAAAAAAATAAGAGTATAAGTGTACTAGTCTTAGCTTTTCTGTACATTTGTACATTTTTACAATAAATGTTCAAAATGTGAAGCACAGAGAAAATAAATAAAATGAAATACCTAAGTACAAATGAGGCACTTGGAAAAAGACACATTAGTGAAAGAGAATAGACTAAGTAGTAAGAGGCCTGACTTTAAATGTTGAGTTAGCTACTCCATTGCTGTATGAGTATAGAAAATCAATTGACCTCTCTGAGTCTTTCTTTCTTCATCTTCAAAATGGACTGTACTCTCAGGAAAGTTGCTATACCCACAGCAGGTACATGGATGTGTCGTACACTGGGCAGGAAACTGGAACCTACTGCAGAGGTCTCTAGCAGATGCAGAAAAAACCTTTGACAAATCCAACATCCATTTAGGATTAAAAAAAAAACAAACCCTGAAGAAAATAGGTACAGGTATAGAAGGACCTCGTTTTAGCTGGATGTAGGGGTATATGCCTGTAATTCCAGCACTTGGGAGGCTGAGGCAGTTCAAGGCCAGCCTGGCTACACAGTGAGTTTTCAAGGCCAGCCTGAACTGCACAGTGAGACCCTGTCTCAAGACCAGAATGTCTACTACGACCACTCCAGTTCAACATAATACTCAAAACATTAGCCAGATCAATCAGGAAAGAAAAAGCAATAAAAGGGATGTACAGGAAAGAAGGAAGTCAAATTATCATTATTTGCTGTCAACGTGATCCTCTACAAAGATGATCAGAAAAATTCCACCAAAAGACTCCCAGAATCAATAACCAAATTTAGCAATATAGCAGGATACTAAATCAACACACAAAAATCAGTAGCGTTCATGTATATCAATGATTAACTCACTGAGAAAGAAATTAGGAAAACAATATCACTCACAATAACATCAGTAAAAATTACAGTGATAAAAACAGCACAGTACTGACACAAAAACAGACATGTGGATCAATGGAACAGAATAGAGAAAAATGAACCAAATCAGCTCCTGCTAGCCTGTGCCCTCTCCCCCTCTGCCATGAAATTCCCTTTTTCTGTCAAAGAACCAGGGACAAGATAAGACCTCTGACCTGTAGCTTTTGAAACTCCTCAGTTTCTCACCCATCAGATGAAGACAGTCTTACCTGGAGAAATCCCACAGTCCTGCGGTTCCACGTATTCCCCAAAGCAGTCAATGTGGGCTGGGGTCACGTGCCTCCACTCCTCCTCAGGGAAAGCCAAGGCCATGTCTTTAAAGGGCGCCATCCCCTGAAACAATACCGTAGCTAAATAACGGTCCCTAAAGGACAGTCTAATAGCAGCAGTGAATATGGAGAACAGAGGGCTGAGCAGAGCAAGAAGGCAGAAGGAACCTGCCACTTTTTGGGGGGTAGGGGGGAGACAAAGTCTTGCTATATAGTTCAGGCTGGCCTTAAACTCACTATGTAGTCAAGGCTGGCCAATCCTCCTGCTCCAACCTCCTGAGTACTGGGATTGCAGGAGTGCGCCACCACATCCAGCTTAAGGGAAAGCAACTAATTTGTCTTAGTCTCTGCTGCTGCAGCACTGCTTGTTCCCAACAACCACAGCGTTCCACGTCACCTGCACTTGCCCCTCAAGCTTCACAGAGACTGGGAAATGCCATGTGTCCCTCAAGCCTTATCTTAAATAACAGCACCAGGGCTGGGGATTTAGCTCAGTGGTTCTGGCCCCAACCTCGTAAGTGCAAGGTCCCAAGTTTGATCCCCGGTAAAAAAAAAAAAAAAAAAAGAACAGCACCACGTTAGAAGAAACATGTTCTCATTTTCTCATTCACTACACCATAAAGAACCACTCCAGTAAAAGAGAATGATCTGACAAAATGAAAACACATGGATATCACCCTCATTCCCTACAATCTGTTCTTGGAAAACAGGAATGCGGAATGGAGTGAGCACCAAGCCTTGCTCAATGATGGCTTTGCCTCAATCAGGCTTAACTTGTTTTTTTTTCTCTGAATTAATGTCTTTTCTTTGTCAAGCGCTTTAAGACCCTCCCCCTTCAGAAAAGTGCCCCTCTGGAAACCCACCTCTCTGGCAGCACTCAGCACCCTGCGGAAGAGTTTTAAACTGTGGCAGGAATGCCCATCTGTACCCTCATTACCTCCAGGTGAGGCAGGTTTGCAAGCTTTAACAAGGCCCCAACTCCTGGGGTGGCAAATGTGGGCCCAAAAATATTGCCAAGTACCCTAAAAGCCCCACCAAGCCAGCTACTTCTCAGTGACATCTCTAGAGGAGGAACAGCAGCACAAGCAGCCACAAAGGGCATCATCTCTAGGGCAACCACCACAGCCAAGGCATCTGTGGAAACTCTCTCACTGTCTTCCTCTTCATAATGATAAAGAGAAACACCACTGTGTCGATCTGTGACAAGAGTCCAGGCATAAGGCTTGGTGCAGATTAACAACTAGAAGATGGTGGCGGTGAAGAACACAACATAGCCATGCCATCAGAGTTAGCGAGGCAGTGAGTCAACTTTGTGGATGGCACCTTGCTGTGCAGGGAAGCCCTGGGGAGGGTGCATCTCCACTGAAACAGCTCACCTGTGACCCCACTGCAAGGAATCCAGCTCCCATCACTTGGTGTCTGGTGCCCACTGGGGGAAGGCTGGGACCCACCTGCAGAATCGGCAGCGCTGAGGACAGACAAAAGCAGGGGAAGGATCAACACTGTCGTCAGTCAGCCCACTCAAAGGCAGCCCCACCCAACACACAACCTCAGGAATCAACAGACTTTAGGTAGACTTGCTGGAGCCACACAGACCCACACAGAGGGGTCTAGATGCCCCTTGCCCTATTCTAGGCTCAGAAGACTATCCCAGCTCTCTCCCTTCAGGGCTATTCATGTTCCCTGGTAATACTTCAAGATAACCCCCTTTGTGATTCAGTAAAGGAAGAAAATCCCACATTACTTTGAGACCTGTAGTTTGTGCACTTAGTAAATATTTCCACTTGTCAGCTGCATAGCTCCTGGTGGTTTCTAGAAGGGATGTGTGGGGAAGGAGAAGAAATGATAAGAGAACATAATTCCCTAGTCATCCCCTCCAGAAATCAGAGTTGAGGTAGAGAAAATTTCATCTGTGTCCTACCAAGGTCAACGAAGTAGCCAGGAAAATCAGTTATACCATGCAGAAAACAGTTTATCCATTGCTGTGTTTCTGAAGCAAATGAGTGGGGGTGGCTGCAGAGCACGGTGCTCCATGCCTTTCCGTCCTTGCTGTCTGCATCTTACCCTGTTCCTGGAAGGCCTGCGTCCCACCTCCAGGATCCTGACGAAGCTGCTCTTCGGTGCTCTGGTCTAGGCCTTGAACTCCTTCTCCAGAGGGCATCCCCCACTCAGGCTTGACTTCCACTGGCCCCAGGTGAACACCTGGCTCCCAAGCACCTCTGCCAATGACTGTCTCCTGCTGCTCTCCTTGCACGTGGCATGGAACCTAAGAACAGTTCCCAACACCAATTAGAATAAGGCTTGGTCAAGGCCCTTAGGACAGGAACTGAATTAAAACCTAGAAAGAGAACTAAGAAAAGAAGCCTCTGGCTTTGGGAAGAGGACAGAAAAGCTGACTGAGCACTTCTCAAGGACATCAGTGAGGAGGTGAAACAGAGGCAGAGGCCCTTCTGCAGGGCCTGAGCAACTGGTATCTGTCCACACCATTTGACAGGGACCCCTCTGCCTGCCTTGACACTGATCAAATTTCCCACACCACCACAGAGCCCAAACACTGTCCTGCTGAGCACTTAACCACTATATAGTCAAAACTAGAACACCAATTTTCCAGCTGCAGAAGCTGAGAACCCAAAAGTGCAAAGCCCATACTTCACAGTAGGCAGTGAGGAACTGCTGCTCTACACAGAGCAATGACACGTGGAACTCCCACGCTGAGCTGCTCTTTGCAAACCAAAGGCCCTTCCTTGTCTGCTTTTAGGCTCCTGAGTTGAGAGCAGAAAACCAGCTCTCTTAGGACTCTGCAGGGAGACAGGAAGTGAGGGATGATGGCACTTTGGGAGGGGCCACGCTACAGAATGACTGGCGCTTGGCCTCCTTTACCAGCCTTGGTCAGGTACCTGTACCATAGCCACGGCATGACGGAAACACAGCCAGTCTCGAGGTAGCACCTGCGCTGTGCTCAATTTGTGTCATCAGAACAGCACCATGTAATCACTGCCGGAGCTCTGTGAGCCAGTGCTCCAGATAGGGAAATAGCACAGCCACAGACAACTCACAGGAAGAGTATTCACCAGGTGGGATTCCCTGCATTTCCACAGGCAGCTCCCCCAGAGAGGGGCTGGCTCCATAGAGGGCCCTGAAAACAATCTCAACTGCCTTCTTTGGGCAAGAGGCCCAACAAGGAAAGAGGATCAGGCCTCTGCCCTGGTGCCCAAAGGTTTCAAGCCTTTTTGCACACCAGCATCTTCCCTGGGAAGAGCTCCTCTTACTAAAAACCCACCATTCTCAAGAAGTCTGAGAGCAGAAGAAAGAGGTTCTACACCTCCTCTATTCCCAGTGCTTCAAGCCTCTTCATTCTTTAATTCCCACACCATCAGCACAAAACCCAGACACCCTCTTCTCACCCACCGCCTTGGCATCAACTGTGCTGTCAGTCAAGTCCTCCACCAGGGCCTTGCCGCTCTCTGGGCTGTGCTCTCGGATCCAGGCATAGAACTCCCGGGGGAGGATGGTCAGGAACTGCTCTAGCACTAGCAGCTCCAGGATCTGCTCCTTGGTGTGCAGCTCAGGCCGAAGCCACTGGCGACAGAGCTCTTGGAGCTCCCTCAGGGCTTCCTGGGGACCTGCTGCTTCCTGATAACGGAACTGCCGAAACCTCAGACGGAAAGTCTCAGGACTGGAGTCTTCCCGCCCCCTGCCCCACAGCAACTCTTTCTCCAGTTTCACCACAGGAACACCCATTTGATGCTGAGGATCTTCCGCCATCCCTGGACACTCTTTAAGCATCTTCATACTCCCTCCTGAAGACTGAGGATGACAGCACAAATGAGCCTTTTGAGAACATGAAACACACAAAAGGTCAGTCAGTCCATCCCAGTCCTGCGTCTAATGAATATTCTGCTGAAGAACATGGTAATAACCCACTATGAGGCACTTTTTCAAAAGGCTGAACATATTTCCTGATGGTCACGTCAATTAGACACAGTATTTATTAAACACCTATTAGGTACAGAAAAATGCTTAAGATTTATCACTCCACAAATAGCTTAGGATCTCACTGGGGTGATAGCTCAATAACAGGGAATAGTATAAAATGGGATATAATTAAGTTAGTACCAGGGCCCACTCAACAATAAAGGAAACATACATTTAACATGCACAGACACACAGTCATACACTGCATAACAGACTACATATCTGACAGTGGTCCAATAAGATTATAACAAAGCTTAAAAATTCCTATAGTCTACTATTACAGTTTACTTAATAATATACAACTACACTACTGGCTTAATATTTACTATTTTATACTTTTTATTTTATTTTATTTTTTGTACCGGGGATCGAACTTGGGTCCTTCCGCTTCCAAAGCAGGCGGCGGAACCACTGAGCTAAATCCCCGGCCCAATATTATACTTTTAATCATTACATTAGAGTGTACTCCTTCTACTTATTAAAAAGTTCGCTGTAAAACAGTATACTCTGCTTTGCCAATAGCAGCCTCATACAGTACTGTACTTCTTGACTGTATCACAGCTAGACTATCTAGTTTAGGTAAGTGCACTCTATGGTGTCCACATAACAGTGCATTTCTCAGAATATGTCCCTATCATTAAGTAATGCATGGCTCTGTGCGTGTGTGTGTGTGTGTGTATCCTCTCAAACATGCAGAAACTAGAGCTTGCCCTCTTGAAATTTGTACTAATGCAGCCGACAGAAAAAGCAAACATGAGCAAGTACATAAAAATTGCAAGCAGAGACAAGGTCTAGAAAGGAAATAACTAAGGTGGTTTGTTAGTGAGGCCAATGGACCTGGATATGGCTTTTCTGAAGACATGACTCTTAGGCTACGAATTAAAGGATGAGCGTGAGCCAGTCATTCAAAGAGTACTCCAGGCAAAAGCCTTGAGGTTAGAAATTACTTTGCATATTAGTGGCTTGGATGTGATGGTGTGCTCAGTCTAAAGACAATGGAGCCAATGTCTGCCTCCCAAAATACATTATATATATAATATATATATATATATATATATATATATATATGAATGAAACATGAGAAGTTTAAAAAGAAAAATGATTAATGTAAGTTCAAGTATTCCCTGAGGAACAGGCTTTTAGTAGACAGAAGATGAGTCCTATTTACCTCCACGGTGGGTAGGCAAGGAGGACCCAGGCTGAGGAGACAGAACTAAAGTCCAAAGATTGGTCCAGAGAATTAACAACTGGCAGGAGGCACGCCACAAACTTCTGCTAAATATTCTTAGGTGTTTGTGTATTTATTTACACACACACACACACACACACACACACACACACACCCTAGACTTTGCATTTTCAGTCTACAGTACCCATTTTCTCTGCTGCATTGAGATTTCTCTTCCATGATTTCCTAGCTGTTGCAACTGCTCATCCCACCAGTGCATGTGGTGCACTGTCGTGCCAATGTTTATGAGTATCTCCGCATACCAGATTCCCTTTTAGGCAAGGGAAGTCTTCATCCTTCATCTCTGGCACCGGACAAATAGAAGGCGCCGCATACCTATTTTTTAAAGGACTGTTCTACGTCTTGTTCTAGAATGGCTGCTTTCACTTTTTCCGAAGAGTTCCGCCTGAGTGCAAGCCCTCATTCGCAGACACCCTACGTTACTTAGGCCAAGCCTGGCGGGGCAGGATGAGCCTCGCTCCTACCTGAGCCTACAGCGGCGCGGCTCATCCGCGTGGCCACCCGCAGTACCTCGTCCCACAGCCGAACCGCTGATGGCTGCGGCCGAAGCCCGCCGACCTGGCTTCAACAGCTGATCCGCTGCCCTTTGGCCCCGAACCTGCGCCCGGGTCCTCCAAGCGTTCGGCGGACAGGAAGTGAGGGGCGGACACCGTCGGACAGGTGCGCACGGAGAAGTCTCCTTCCGTCTCCTCTCTAGGACGTTCGGAGGTCTCAGAGGTGCGTCTCGATGGTCGCTCCTCGGCTCCTGGGCTGACCGTCCCCCTCAAGGCTCTGGGTCGCCTGGCGCCTTTCTGTCTCTATGCCTTTTCCCGTTTTCTCCCTGTGGAGAGGGCTCGGTGTGTCTCCAGCCACACGGCGCCTCCCTTGAGGAGCTAAAGGCCCATCGGTCCAAACGTGGGTGTGTTGTGCATGGTGCAATGTGCAGGTTCTGGGGATAAAGGGATGTGGAAGGAGCACCGGGCAGTGGGTTCACGGGGGG